ATACAGAAGACATGCTGCAGAACCTCTGTGAGACACGACAGAGGTTATGTCGTCTTTGACTTGAAGCAACGTTTATGTAGAGGACCAGTTTACAGAACCTCTGTGAGACACGACAGAGGTTCTGTCACTTGAGACGAACGCTTGAGCATCTTCTGCTGTTGGTCCWCTGTGGTCTTCTGTGACAGATCATCTTCTGTCAAAACTCGCAGTTTACTTTTTCTATACTTTTACATTTAAGGAAATGAGAGCTAACATTGGCTTTGGTACCAATTGTAGGAACCCAAATTCCTCTTAAGTATCAATAAGCACAGTAAAACATAGTTTGAGTGGAAGCAAGAACTGTGCAATTGAAAATGGTTAACAGATTTACTCAAGAAATGATACTAATGGAAAACAAGCTTGAATAAGTCGGATGCTTTATTAGATTTAGAGTAAAACAATAATCTCTCAATCTAATAGTATTCTCTCAAGAATTCTCTATATAGGAGCGTAGCCGAATTCAGCAATCTTTCGGGTAATTTAACCTAAAGATGACGGCTCCTTTTATACGTCCATGCAACACAAAATCTTCTAATTTCTAGGTTTTAAAATCTGACTTCTTGTTCAGCGTCCTCAGCCTTCACGTTTCTTGGAAAGTGGAACGACTTGTGTGTACGTGGCCGATTCTATTTAGAGTCTTGGAGATAAGTCAGAACAACTTATGCGCAAACCATGGAAGTAGGAGACTTAGAGGCTATGTGTGTATTGTGCAGAGGCTCTGTGTCTTGAATGTAGCTATGCATCAAGTACTTATGCTTTTCGATGCTTAAGTCTTGATCTTCCTCTGGGTTGAGTACATGCTCTGTATGTGAGACAGTTAGCTCTTTGAGTAAGAGCTCTGTCTCTTAGTATCTTCAGCATAAGAACTCTTGGTCCAGACTGTTTCAATCGACTAAGTCCTAAAAGACTAGAGTAAGAGACTTCTTATTTACACTTTTACAAGTGGGGTTCTAACAGATTTAAAAGAGTACTTTCTTCTACACTTTCAGTATCTCATTATGAGCACATTTTTCACCAGCCAGATTTTTATAAGGTCTTACATTCCTAGCTTTTGCAACACATCTATAATTCTTAGTTTTTATACACATATATAATTAAAAAATAAAAATCTGTTGTGTGTATTTAACACACCCTTCTACAACCACTTCCAATATTAGTCATCATCCATTTAGGACCAATAACAATGTATCTGCATTTTGAATTTGTGTTTTTCAATGATAAAATTTATGAGAATTTGTTGTTTGGATTTGTGTTTTTCTAAATATTTTATGTTGGATTTGTGAAAATGGCTAGTGTTGGTCTTGAGTGTGGTTGATGTTGGTAAGTGGTGGTGAGTGGTGAATATTCTTTTTATTGACAAATGTCCCCATGAAGATGGGTAAAATGACAGATCTGCCTTCATATGAGGGGCAAGTGCACCCACTTAAAAAGATATAAAATAGTTTGTTTGTTTGGTTTTTCATTAAGTCATTGATAAAATTGTGTGTGTGGATTAATCTGTCTGTACAGATTGATAACTTTTTTTTGTTTGGAAGAGTTTTTTCGTAGATGGAAGAAACATATTTTTTAATTGGGAGAGACATGTATGAAAAAGACTTGACTTTCTGCATAGAACTCCCCTAAAAGCTTATTGAATAGACCACTTTCTATATCATTAACTCACTACTTATAAGCAGTCATGTATAGTTGACTGAATCAAAAAGTGAGTCTCATTAAGCTACTAACCAACATGCCCTAAGTTAACGATGTTAACTAGAGAGACCCCAATGTTATAAAAAGAAAGAATAAATTGGAACCACCACGGTGTAAACAATGTGTTTGAGGGACGATTTCTAGATTTGGAGTAAAGTTCAGTGTTATAAATAGGAAAAGTACGTTAGACGACCACATGGATACCAAGTTTATCATTCACTTTGTTGTGACCCTTTCGTGAACGAATATTAATGTCAACGAATGCAATAAGATAAAGATGTTACCGATCAAAATAAGCACGAAATAAAAAAAACTTTATTATATCAATTAAGAGAAAGAAATCCAAATATCTTAAATAAAAAATAAACCAAACTATTTATATTTGAATACATTTTAGCTTTAATATATATATATATATATATATAGCGACTTTGATTCTATTTCACAAATAAATGTTGGAATTATTTTTAAACGAATCAAATTATGAGACCGTGTGGCAGACTTGTGATTATATAATATCAAGTGGTGCAAAAAGGTTTTCCATTGCCACCCAGACTCTAACATCATCTTCTGTCACCACTTTTCCACCCTATAAATTCAACCCTACCCTCAGCCTCTCTCATATCCCTCACACAAAAACATGTCTACTATCGTCTATCGACAAGCTTCCCAACCTTCCATGGACTCCTCTCATGTCGTAGAGGCAACAACCATGCGACTCAAACTGGTTTCACCCAAATCTTGCAACCAAAAAACCCTTTTTGGAGGTTGGAGTTTTCTCCAATCTCCTTCATCCCAGAAACCCGTAGAGGATTCTTATATAGATGCCACATATCTTCATAACCAATCTTTGAAGCTGAGCCAGAAAAGCCTCGAACTTTGTACTGAAAGATTAGGTAGTGAATCAGGCAGTGATACAAGTGAGGACGATGCCATATTCACCTCCCCAGCATCGAGTTTATCTGTCAAAAGGGGCCGAAGAGAACCGGTGGAGTCGAAGAAGGTGTCTTCGCGAAGCTTTCCACCTCCATTGACGACGATGAGTGGGTCTAAACCGTTTCAAGTTAGGCCACACCGTGAAGGAGGGAGGCTAATAATTGAAGCCATGGAGACATCATTGGGAACCAGTTGTTTACGAGCCGAAAGGAGCCATGGTCGACTTCGGTTGACGTGTTGGAAGAGCGAAGAAGGTGATTGCGATACGAAAGGTCAAGAAAATGACATGAACGATGTAGAGAAGAGTGAGGGGGAGATGGAAAGAAATGTCGTAGTTGAAAATTTTCAAAGGCTAAGAAGGTGCAACGAAGATGAGCATGGAGACAAAGGAATATGCTGTCATTGGGAGCCAGCTTCCTGTTGGGTCGCTACTTCTTAGATCTATCGAAATCATTAAACTTACCATCAAACTTAACCGCTTTTTACTCTTTTTAGCAAGAGAACGTCATCGTTGTAACAAAAAAAATAGGATATATATATATTGACTTGCATGCTTTTCCAGAATGAAATAACAGTGGGTTTGGAAGGATATATTTACTCAAGTTTCGATCTTTTTTACCATGATCCCAATTTTCAAACCCCATGTGCTTAATTAATAGCAAGGTGGTTGAAAGAAATGAGTTGATGACCAAGATACAATCTTTTGAGGATTCTAAAGATTGATGCTTTATGGGTCGTTTTCACTCTCTTCAATGGGAGGGAGAGTGGTCGGAAATCGGGTATGATTGTAGGGTAAACGTACAAGGTGATTTGGTTTTCCAATTTAGGTATCGATTAGGACCCTACACGAGTTGAAAAACGAGTCAAGTTTATACCAAGTATCGTACTTTGAATAGATATAAACGTAAATGAGTTCACATCATCCAAGATTTCAGGATCCAAATTCATTGATTGACGTAAGGATCGTAATATTTCATTTTCAAAACATTTTGAATGGGGTAAACCGTCCTTGACTGCCGGTTGGAGAGAACTAAGACCAGTTTTTCAAGCCACTTGCTGAACTTTTTTCCCTTTAACCCGTATTATATATATATATATATATAGAGGAGCGTTCAAATAAAAACTTGACCCATTTGTGTAAACTGTGTAAACCAATCTCATCCATTCATTTTTTGATCAATGGCTAAGATTACATTACTTTATTTTAGGAAATTAAAAATTAAAAAATAATTAATATTTATTTTATTTCATCAATAAGGATAGAATCGGTAAACAAATTTAATTCATAGTATTTTTTATTCAAGGCAACCATATCAGGTAAATTATATTATTAATGAAATTGATTCACTTTGTGAAGTATTATACTATTTTAATGTTAACATTTTTTAAAATAATATCCATCAATAAGTTATATCAAAATCAAAACACAACATATTCACTAATGTATAATGAATAATTTCATAAAAAATTAAAATAAATTATCATATTTCGTTTTTCTTAATTTACTTGTAGACGGATTCGTTACATTTTAGTTAATGAAAATTTTTCATTGTTTAATGCGCTTATTAAATTTTATTATTATGCAATATCTAGTTTCATTATCCTCATTTGATATTGAATCTCATCCATTTTTTGCAATGATGAATCGATTTTGTCTATGCACCTGTTTCATTTACCATTTCATCAACTTAACCATTCACBTACAACATCATTGTTCATGTCTTAAAGCGGTTCATGATTAACTGTTCAATTACATTATGAACCCGTTTTATTATCATTAACACGTTACATCCATTGAACGGACCCCCTACGTAATTCTACAACGTGGTTGGCCATGAAACGAGTTCAACGGTCATTAACCAATTGTAAATGAACTCGTTTCATTGTCAAGTATCCGAATAAACGGATCATCATCACACACAATGCAACATGRATCAYCATGAAACTTGAAAATGAATATGTTTCATCATCATGAAACGAGTGCATGAACATGTTTCATCATAAATAAAAAAAGCCAATAAACCATATATTAATGAAACCGTCTCATATGAACATTAATTGCATAGAGAATAAAATATATTATGCACC